CCCCCCCCCCCCCCGGCCCAAAAAAAAAAAAAAGGAAAAACAGAACCGCGCATCCAGCGCACCTGGCCTAGCCCGACCGCATGCGCGCGCGCAGCGCACATGTGCATGACTGCGCGCACAGCTGCTGTGCGCCGCAAGTATGGTTCAGATTGCTTAGAATCTATAGATGCTCCTAATTAGGGGTTCAGATTCTGTGGAATCTATAGATGCTCCTAATTAGGGTTTCAGATTCCGTAGAATCTATAGATGCTCCTAATAATAGTAGTGTTGTGCATAAAGACTAGTCGTTCCAAACTCCTCGTCGTTCATGTTGTGTATCGTTGTGATGGGCAGTGTTCTGTCTTTTCCTAGGCTACTTGGGTTGCCCGGCTGTGCAGCCCAGGCAAGCCGCACTGGGGTCACCTGCAAGGACACCCTGTAGGCAAAAGTCAGCCCTTCTTTTTGTTATGGGGTACCTCTGCACCCAGCGCCTGATATGGCCTTTCCACGATTAAACAATATCAGTTTTTGGTTATTACCACGATCATTATTATTAAATCTTCTAAGTTCTGCTTTAGTGGAAGTAGGTGCTGGTACCGGGTGGATGGTCTACCCACCTTTATGCGGTATATAACCAGTCATTCTGGAGTAGCTGTGGATTTAGCTATTTTTAGTCTTCATTTATCGGGTGTGTCCTCAATATTAGGTGCTATTGATTTCATTACGACTATTTTTAACATGCGTGGCCCAGGAATGACCATGCATAGATTACCTCTATCTGTTACAGCATTTCTGCTTTTATTGTCACTTTTCCAATGAAAACAGATCCAAGTAATGTATATAAGAAAAACTGATATTCTGCTCATATTTTTCTCTGTCTACAACCCCATACCCCTATAATAAACATAGGAATTATTAAAACACTTTCAAATAACACACAAAAGAAGTCTGGCTCTGTCCAGGCCGCTTCTTTTTTATAAAGTTAAATGCTTTCAGGTTTCGCCCAAACCAGACTCGAACAAAACTCGGACCAGAGTCCAGACTAAAAAGTTAAAAACAGACTCGAAAGTTCTTAACGGACTCAAAGACACTCAAAACAGGTTGACAACAGAATCAGGCAGACTCAAATCATCAAGTGGACCTGCAGACCAAAGCAGGCTGAAAAGAAACTCAAACAGACTCACACAGCACTGTGACGGACGCAAACAGACTCGAAACTCACTCAGAGGAGACTTAGACAGACTCAGACAGAATCAAAACAGAATCAGAAAGAATCAAAACAGAATCGGACAGAATCAAAACAGAATCAAACAGACTCAAAACAGAATCAAACAGATTCAAAACACAACCAAAGTCACCAGACAGACTCAAACGGATGTACGGACTCAAGCAGACTGAAAACAGACTCAAACTGACTCAAACTGACTCAGGAGTCAGGAGTCAGAAAAGAATTATTGCCCATGTAATGTTAAGAATCACTCTAGTGTCGTTGTCGCTTCACAAACAGCCTCTTCGAATGACGAAAATAGCAGGGATTATTTTGTTGGCTCCATCGCGGGTCTGGGAGCTGTGCCCAGTGCACCAGGCTGCCAACTGGGCCTGGAAAGGGGCCGTGGCCAAAGGAGCAAAATCCGCCCTGGCACCCCCCCGCCAGGGGCATCTGCACGGCCAGGTGGTCGGGCGGGGCCTTCGGGGCAGATTCGGCCAGCCCATGCGCCCTGCCAAACAGCCTAGCTCTTTTCTTTCATTTCTTGTATACTGGAGATTCAGGCGAAGCAGCAGGAAAGGCTGGCTTGGCTTTCCTGGCAGAGGTACACAGTAGGAGAGATTTCCAGGCTTTTACTATAAGCACACAGTCAGCCATCTCCATCGGCCCATTTTCGAACCGGCAGTATATTTCTTGGGCGGCGGCACAGATGTTGTACCTCTCTCTCTCTCTCTCTCTCTCTCTCTCTCTCTTTCTCTCCCCCCCTCTCTCTCTCTCTCTCTCTCTCTCTCTCTCCCCCCCCCCCCCCCACCCTCTCTCTCTCTCTCTCTCTCTCTCTCGCGCGCGCGCGCTCGGTCTCTTATTTCTGTTCATACTGCGTCCCCTTCCGTTGTTTTTTCGTTGGTGCCGGCAGCGGTGCTTCCTCATGAAGAAGAGTGCAACGAGCCTATATGGATGTATGTGTGAGGAACTGCCCACCGCTTAATCATTTGCATGCCCAATGTCCATCTCAAAAAGCTGCCCCCTTAATCGTATGCGAGCCAATCTGTGAAAGCTAAATGAAATGGCACCAATTTGTCAACCACCTATGTAGCCTGTTCTCCTCCTCCCAGCTTTTGTGTGCACCATGTTTTTTCTTGAATAGAAGTTGAATTTAAAATTGGTTTGTGCGTGTCATTGTGATGTTTGGAAGCAGGCTGAACATTTGCTTTCTGTTTCTGCCTCTCTCTTTTTTTGTTTGTTTTACCTTTCCCAAACACCTGCAGGTCAGCCAGTATACAACAGATGGATTACAGAGGGCACAAGATGCTCTGAATGAGGCTGGCGCATTGCGAGAACGCTTCACTATTGGTACAAGCGTTAGCAGGAGAGTAGCTGCTGCAGCAGCTGCAGCGGTGAGCTAACACATCCAAAGGATTTCAGGAAGCACACAGTCATCAATCTGGAATATTTCAAGTCTCGTGTCCTTCCTGTGCTTAACATTTTCTCTATCCTGTCCCTGGTTCCCCACTTACTCTCACTGATTTCTATCCTAATATCTTCACCTCCTCACCTCCTCCTCCTCCCTCCCCTGTCTATTTTCCCCTTTCACAAAATCTCCACTTCCCTCGCCTGAAGTGATAAAATTTTTGCACAATACATTCAGCAATATACGACTTCCTGTATTCGACTTTTCTCTCTTTTTTTGGGTTTCTTCTGCAAAACAGTGAGTTTAGTTTTTTTTGGTCTCTTTTGCTGTTTTCTTTGAGAATTCGAGCTGTTGATGTTCTCAGTTGAGGGGTGAAGGAATGATCATGGGGGGGAATGCGAACTGAATGATCAGCACTCATTGGTATCATCCCTCGTCTCCTAAACGGAGATGCCATGTGTGTGTGTGAAAACTGATTCTTTTGCCGTCTTCTTTGAGAAAGTTCATTCAAGATTCTCTGACTGGACAGAGAATCTTATCAGATCCTTGAACTTTCTCCCATCAGGAATCCGTTTTCACTCTGACTGATACATTAACCTATGTTATTGAAACTAGGATGCCATGTGTGTGTGTGTGTGTGTGTGTGTGTGTGTGTGTGTGTGTGTGTGTGTGTGTGTTCATATTCAATCTCACAGCGCTTCCGCCATGTACTCCACCATAACAGTTGTGCACCAGGTTCAGACATATCCCATCGCACGTGGCTAAACAGCCACTAATACGAATTGCCGGTTTTTGGTAGGGAATGCCGAGGATGGGAGTAATTTCCAACGTTTATACACAGTTCATGCAAAAGAGTAGTCAAAAGAAGGAAGGTCAGAAAGCAGGGAATAAGGGAGACAATAAGTGATAAACCAAAGAAGAAAGCATTCCATATATTTGTTCAGGGAAGTGATATCTTCCGACTATTCTGTTTGGCCTCTCGATAGCCTTGTGGGCAGTGAGTGGTAGTCGTTCATGGATAAATGTATCCATGGAGATTGTCGCTCGAAGTGCCCAGGTCACGGATGCATTTCGTCGTACTTTAATAGGTATAGTGCGGCAGAAATCCTCCGAGTAGGGGCAATCAAGACATACGAGTACACAAAGAGGGGAAGAGCAGAAGAAGTGGAAGGAAGGGGGGAGAAAAAAGAGGTGCGCAAGCATACCAAGAGAGGTTCAGAATGAGAGGGAGCACCACGCAGAGAGCAAAATACTGTATAGTACGGTATCAGTACCAATACAGAACTCGCCGAGCCACAGTATTGAAAGTACTTCCGCAGACTTCGTACAGGTAGCTATGTTAAAAATCGAACCCCCATCGCTCATGATCACCACTCGCTTACAACGTGTCGTCAAATCCACACCTCCCACTCGTATATCACCAAGCATTAAATGCACATCGTCTGAGTTGCGTGGCTGTGTTTTCTTACTTTGCGACTTGTGTTGAATTGTTGTTACGCTATGTGTTTTTCTTCCACTCCGGTGAATGCAGGCAGAAGCCGCGGCAGCCGCAGGTGAAAGCAGTGTGCGTGGCTTTTTGGTGGCTGTGCAGAGAGCAACCACTAACGTTGCAATGTTACAACAGGTTCGTTGAACTCGGATCTTTTATCGTACCACAATGTCCAGTCAACATCATGGTGGAGTAATTATTTGTGCAGCGAACTACCCTGTAGTAATTACCAATTACGTGCCGTTGAATCGTGATAGCCGTGAGTAATAAACTGCCGTGCACTTTCCACAGTCCACACAATAGGCTGTGATCATTGTGATGGGAACTACATGCACATGCACACTATAAACTTGGTATAAACTTGTGAAGTTGTAAACAAACTGTTTTTCTGAACACAATGCTGCACTGTTGAAGAAGTACAAACATGACCCCTTTCGCCGTCCAGGTTTTTATTCATCAAAATTGATCGAATTGATTTATGTGCATCGGTATGTCCACAGCTGGCAATCCCCACCCAACCCAACCAATAGGTGGAGCCTGCACAATTCCAGGCGGGACAGACCTGCAACCTCGGGGTCCCTTTCCGGGAGACCTTTCACACTGGTCCAAACAATGGATTGATGGTTCAATTAGAATAGCAGGTGGCCTATCAGACTGGTCCAAACAATGAATGGTTCACGTAGAATCGCATGCAGTGTTTGTGTGGCACCCAAGAAGTAGTAAGAACCGTAATTCATCGAGCGCTGTTTGCTCATCGAGGATGTGGTCTCTAGTTTTCGCCTTTCGGCTGTGTACACCGCCCAGATCCATTCGGAAAGGTCATAGTGTGAGTAGGCCCTAAGTCAGTTGCGTTGGATGTATGATGACAACAATTTGGAGTTATTGTCCTGTGAAGTTGTACGTCAGTTGCCTGATGTCTTTGTGGTTTGCCCGTGACATCCGATGATGGGGTTTATGGCGCTGTACTCTGTGTGTGTGTGGGTTTATGGCGCTGTACTCTGTGTGTGTGTGTGTGTGTGTGTGTGTGTGTGTGTGTGTGTGCGTGCGTGTGGGTGGGTGGGTGTGTCTGTCTGTGTGTCTGTCTGGGTTGATGGCACTGTACTCTGTGTGTGTGTGTGTGTGTGTGGGTCTGTGTGGGTTTATGGTGTCGTACACTGTACGCTGTGTGTGTGTGTGTGTGTGTGTGTGTGTGTGTGTGTGTGTGTGTGTGTGCTGATGGCGCTGTAGTCTGTGTGTGTGTGTGTGCGTGTCTGTGTGGGTTTATGGTGCTGTACGCTGTGTGTGTGTGTGCGTGTTGGTGGGGCTGTAGTCTGTGTGTGTGTGTGTGCGTCTGTGTGGGTTTATGGTGCTGTACGCTGTGTGTGTGTGTGTGTGTGTG